GGTGAATGTGTTCTGACCGCGGCTTACATTATAAATCGCACTCCGTCGGGTATTTTGGGGGGAAAAACTCCCTATGAAATTCTTTTTGGGCGTGCTCCTGATTTTGGTCATTTGCGAGTCTTTGGATGTTTGACCTTCGCTCATAACTTGCAGGCCCGAGGGGATAAGTTTGCTCCTCGGAGTCGGAAGTGCGTGTTTGTTGGATATCCGTCCCAGAAAAAGGGGTGGAAATTATATGACTGTGATACTGGTGATATCTTTGTTTCTCGGGACGTTCAATTTCATGAACAGGAATTTCCTTTTGCTCAGCCGCCTCCCTCGGCATCATGTGACCCCACGGATACGACTATTGTTCTTCACGAGGAGCCCATGGATACTCCAGCTTCGGCGGATAATGCCGTGGAACTTTCTGAGTCATCATCTTCTCCTACTGCCGAATCCTCACTTGCAGAACACACTCTTGGCCGAGGTATGCGTTCCAAACGCACTTCGGTTTTATTACGGGACTTTGTCACACATCATGTACGGAAATTGAGCCCATCTCCGTCGACATCTCCTCCTCTCGGTTCCTCAGGTACGCCCTACTCTATAGCTCATTATGTGAATTATGACAAATTTTCTGCCTGTCATCGTATGTTTCTCGGAGCAATTCTTGCATGCAATGAACCTCGTTCTTTCCGCGAAGCTATGACTGATCCCGGTTGGAAGGCAGCCATGGAGAGCGAAATTCGTGCTCTTGAGAGTAACCACACTTGGGATATGGCCCAGCTCCCGTCCGGTAAAACGGCTCTTGGTTGCAAATGGGTTTACAAAGTCAAATATCATTCAAATGGCACGGTGGAACGCCTTAAGGCGAGACTCGTAGTTCTTGGCAACCACCAGAGAGAGGGCATTGATTACACAGAAGCTTTTGCACCAGTAGCAAAGATGGTTACGGTTCGGGTTTTACTTGCACTCGTTGCCGCTAAAAATTGGGAATTACATCAAATGGACGTCCACAACGCCTTTCTCCATGGTGATTTGGCTGAAGAGGTCTACATGAAACCTCCGCCAGGATTTTACCCGTCTCGGCCTGACCAAGTGTGCCGCCTCCGCAAATCTCTTTATGGTTTACGTCAAGCACCCCGATGTTGGTTCGCAAAACTGACTAGTTCTTTGCGGACCTATGGTTTCAGGCAGTCGTACTCTGATTACTCTCTGTTCACATATCATAAGGATGATATCTCCTTACACGTACTCATTTATGTAGATGACTTAATTATTGCCGGCAATAATTCTGCGACATTATCACGCTTTAAGAGCTATCTTCATACGTGCTTCCATATGAAAGATTTGGGACCTCTCAAATATTTTCTTGGCATTGAGGTGGCCCGCAGTCCGGAGGGGTTATTTCTATGTCAACGCAAATACACTCTAGACATTATCTCTGAAGCCGGTCTCTTGGGTGCCAAACCAGTGCTTTTTCCTATAGAACAGAACCATTCGCTAGCCTTGGCTACGGGGGACCTACTTCCTAACCCCGAGTCATACCGACGGCTAGTTGGCCGCCTCATCTATCTCTCTTTCACCCGGCCGGATCTGGCTTATGCTGTTCACATTCTCTCTCAGTTTATGCAGACACCCCGACAGGAACATTGGCAAGCTGCCCTTCGTGTAATTCACTACCTGAAGGGTTCCCCAGGCCAGGGTATTATACTATCTGCTTCTTCCGACTTGCAGCTCACTGGCTGGTGCGACTCCGACTGGGCAAGTTGTCCTCTCACTCGACGCTCTCTCACAGGATGGATCATTTTCTTTGGGAACTCTCCAGTGTCCTGGAAAACTAAGAAACAACATACAGTATCTCGTTCTTCTACAGAAGCTGAGTATCGTTCTATGGCGGCAATCACTTCGGAATTAAAATGGCTCAAAAGTCTTTTAATGTCTCTCGGGGTGACACACTCACGACCTATATCTCTACGGTGTGATAGTCGTTCTGCACTCCACATCGCACATAATCCCGTGTTCCACGAACGCACCAAACATATTGAGGTCGACTGTCACTATGTTCGTGACGCCATTCAGGATGGCACTCTTACTGCTCATCACGTTTCTACCCATGACCAAACTAGCTGACATTTTCACCAAGGCTCTCGGTCAGCGACAATTTCATTTCCTTCTCGGCAAGTTGGGCATTTTTAATCCCCATGCTCCAACTTGAGGGGGGGTATTAGATTACATTATATGGGCTTGTAATTTAAATCTTTAGATTGGTTAGATTACTAAGTACTAGTTGGACCAAGGGCTCTTATTTAGACTTAACCTCATGTATATATATATAGGAGCTCTCTTGTACATGGAAGGTAATAATACAATTAATAATATTCCCTAAATATTGATATGGTATCAGAGCATTCAGCGATCCGATAGGATCGCGATTCGATCGGGTATATTGACATACCTAGTTGGGTATGACTAGATTTCAGCACTTTCGTAGCTACTACCAATGATTTCGGTCGGGTATCCAATATACCTGATCGGGTATCAGACTCAACCACTTCTTTTTTTTACCCGGAAATTCCACAGAAAGTGGGGAAAGCGCCGGGGAACACTTTCCAATTTATTAGAAAAAGGATTGCAAGTACAAAGATCGGTAAAGGAAATTACAAGAGAAAGTCGCAAGAGAAAAAAAATTAACTAATGACACATGTTGTAGGCACACCTACAGAGGATGATAGTAGCTGATTGTGGGTAAGGTGAAATTGGATAGCCCTTTAGAGATAAGGTGGGTAAGACTTCGCATCAGGGTGTGGTGACTTATAGCGTTCGAGACAGGTAACTAGCTTTTGGGGTGAGTCATAGTTTGAGTAGACCCGGTAGATGAAGTAGTCCTCATCATCTTGTAGCGTTTTTGACTGACTCCTAGTTTTCAATCCTTCTGTGGAGACATCTGGTGTTTGGGTTGGCTTAAAATTTTGATCTTCCCGTAGTCTCACAATGTTGTTGACACCAGTAATTACTTCTGTTGGAGTATCGATATGAAGCTCCCTTGCGCTATATCTCTGCTTATTTGATACATCATTGAATGCTCTATGTGCTTCATAATTAAAAATGAGTTTTGAAATGGTGATTTCCTCGGAGACACCCAGAGTGTGCTCCCAATGCCAGGTTTCCTCCTGCTCAGAAGATAATTTTGCAAAATTAGAGAATAATGATAGAAAGTTTTTGAGATTGGAATTTAGGGGACCCATAGGGATTTCAATGGAGGTCCCGCTATCTTTGGAAATCTTCATATAAGACCCTGATTTGTTATTTTGAGTAGAGATTGTGATATTTCCAACTTTTCTGCTTTGAAAGTAGTTTCCATAATTTGTGCCTGAGATTTGTAAAATGCTATAAATTCGTGGAGCATCATCTATTTTGAAATTGATCCTTCTCAGCCAGGATTTTTGTATCTCAAAAATTTTAATATCTTTTTCTGTTGCCGCAAATCTGAACAGTTTTGATTCAATTTTTATGGAGTCAAAACCCTCTTCTCCAAAAAAAAGAAATTTCTCAAAACCGCTGGTAATTTCTTTCCGAGAGGCTTGAGTGGTGTTGAGCTGAATTGTTTTAGCCGAGCAATATTGTGGCTCAATTGCAGTAGATGTTCCGGGTCGGGCTCCACCTGTTTCTGCTTCCCACCGTACTATCTCGGCCCATGTCAGTCTGCGAACAGATGTAGATGAGTGTGTGAAACAAATTTTAAGTTTTTACTTAAAATTGATCGCAAATAATAATATGTGAGAATATTGGGTACAATCTCTAAATATGAATCCTCTGATTCTTCACTTGCAATTTGACATAAATATAATTAAAGAATTAATTTAAAATTAAATCTTTAATCCTTCAAACGTTCGAACGTTCTTCAGATCTTCAAATCTTCGTTCTTGAGATCTTCGAATCTTTGAATCTTCGTTTGTCAGATCTTCAAATCTTCTTGAATTAAGAATTCAACTGGAAGGGCCTCCGGTTTTCAAGTGGCTTGATCTTCAACAAAAGGGCCGTTTTATTGCTTGATCTTTTGTTTAAGGGCCTCCCGGGGTATATGGCTTGATCTTCAATTGAATTTCAATTCAATCTTCATATGAGTATCTTTAAATCTTCAAAGATTCGTTCTTCATATCTTCGAATCTTCAAAGTCTTGTTCTTCAGATCTTCGAATCTTCAAACTTCGTTCTTCAGATCTTCGAACGTTCTTCAACTTTTTGATTTATTTTATTAAGAATCGAAGAAATCACGAAGGATTATTCGTATATTCTTAATAAAATTCGCAGCTTAACCTATTCTTCTTCTTCGGAATCGTTCAGAGCCTTTCGGGAGTTCTTGAGAGCTTTTCTGCAATGTTTCTTCGTCTGAAAATTCTCTCCCCTTCCTCTCAACTGAGACCCCTATTTATAGGTGTGGAGGGAGTGAAATATGCTTTTAGGGTTGTGAAATTCGTTCATATGCTTAGGGCCCTGATTAAAATGGGCTTTGGGCTCTATTTGCTTGCATTTAGTAGCTAGAAAAATCAGCACTTATTCGATGTATCTGGACAGCCTTTTTAACAAGGTTCGCAGCCATTTTCCACGCATACGGATGGATTTCTTAACCATATTCATTGTTATCTTTATCAATTGGATCGTGTCTCTTATTCATCGGGCTACTATTTAATAATGGGCTCAAAATAGAGAAATTAATAGGACCGATCCATTCTTTTAAAGATTTAATTTATAATTAAATTAACTGGATATATTAAATGACCCAAATTAATTTAATCAGTAAATTTTATTCAAACGGATCCATATTAATATTTTCCTCTTGAAAAGACGGATATCATTCTTGAGAAGTCCAGTAGAATCCAACTTTGACTCTATAAGAGGCCCAATAACATGGATAATAGCCCAGTAGCATTTAAATCAGTTTAATAATATTATGGACCATCATAGAATAATAAGTCCAAAATATTAAATAATTTTTTATATCTACAAATGCCCCCTCGAGATTTGCTTGGTCGTTTTAAACGGAAGAAAAGTAAGTCTCGACCCTGACCGACATAATATTTATCTGTGTGCTTGACAAACTTAATCCCCTAGCCCGTGAAGTTTGTTAACCCAGATCCATCGCGGTAATATCTGCTCCATTCATTTGGGCCATTCGCAATTTTTTATTTCGCAGTCCAAGTATTTCAAAATATCAAAATTCTTCTTTGTGAAAAATATTGCATTATAAACCACTTAGAATCCTTTGGATGTTAGGGTAGTGCCGTGGTAGCAGATATTGTCCTAGTTCAACTGATTCAAGCAGATATTCTTGACACTATTATAAATACGAATCATCTAGATTCGAATTATACATCAGCCAGCAACAAGCTTTTAACATCATCAGGGTAAACTTTTCATACTTTTGACTGAATATTACCTCTATATTTTTTTTGAACGCAGGAAGGTTTCGGAGGAAAGCTTGGTTTAGTTCAATTCGTTTGCTGAGTGTGATGCCACTTGCCGGACTGCTTGGATTGGAAGCTAGTTGGTGTTGGAAGCTAGTCGGTGTTGGAAGAGATGCTGCCGCCTCTTGCCGGACTGTTCGGGTTGGAAGCTAGTTGGTGTTGGAAGCTAGTCGGTGTTGGAAAAGACGCTGCCGCCTCTTGCCGGATTGTTCGGATTAGAAGCTAGTTGGTGACGAGCTGATTTTTTTTTTTGTTGGTGCCGTCGCTACTTGTTTGCCCAGAAGGAGCTGAATCGGTTGCTGATTCTGTTACTTCAGCCTTGGTACAAAAGATGACTGCCAGCAGATGAGACCAACTGTTTGACGGGGAGATGATAAACCAATTGGTGCTTCGCTGGTGTTGGACGTTGCTGCTAATTTCACCTGGGAATCAATTGCTGGCGTTGCTCTCTTGGTGCGAAGAAGACGGTAAAACCATGCCATGCGATCTTTGTCCGCTGATTTATCCAGTTCTGATGTGCGAAGGAGGAGATGACGAAGCTGATTTTGTCGCTGGCGCCGTTTGCCGGAGAGAGGAGATGTTATCGTCGGCGGAGATCGCTGGTCATCCGAGAAGGAAACCTGGTCGAGCTTGGCGCTGATTACCTGCGAGTAGGAGTAACTGCAGCAGCTTCACTGAAGAAGATGACGGGGAGAGTTGCTGAATGGAGTCCATAGCTCCTCTTAAAAAACTTTAGGCCATGAGGCTTTCTATTGGGCCTGAATTCTTTGAAAGGCTTTAGGCTGGTTATGATAATGAGGCCTCCTTTTAGATGTTTTTTTTTAAAAAACCTCTACCTTTTTATTAATAGTGCTTTTTTTTCGTGCCCTCACTTTCTTTTCTTTCTTTTGCTTGCCCTTTTTTTGTGTGCAGGGACAATCAAATTGTGGCTGCTTAAAACTTTTGATGCATTAGTTCTCTACTCGCCATAGCAATTGAGAGTCTGGCATTCTACTGTTTCAAGCGACTTGAAGGTGGCGCCTTTTGTTGAAAAGGAAAGAGCTTAGCCGATTGACGACCGTCGGTGTGAAAACCGGCTATTTTGTCGGTGAGAAGACCGACCACTTTATCAGTTTGAAGACCGGCTATTTTGTCGGTGTGAAGACCGGCCATTTCGTCGGTTTGAAGACCGGCTATTTTGTCAGTGCGAAGACCGCCCACTTTGTCGGTGCGAAGACCAGCTATTTCGTTGGTGCGAAAACCGGCTATTTTGTCGGTGTGAAGATCAGCCATTTCGTCGGTTTGAAGACTGGCTATTTTTTCAGTTTGAAGGCCGACCATTTCGTCAGTGTGGAGATCAGCCACTTTGCCGATATGAAGACTGAAGTGGTGTGGGATGGTGGCCCTTCGTTGGGTTAGTGGCACTGATCTAAAGAATTGGTCTGGTTGCTGGTTATCGGTGTCGCTTGGAGCCCTTCGTTGGGTTAGTGGCATCGATCTAAAGAATTAGTCTGATTGCCGGTCATCGGTGTTGCTTGGGGCCCTTCGTTGGGTTAGTGGCACCGATCTAAAGAATTGGTCCGATTTCCGACCGTTGGTGTCGCTTGGGGCCCTTCGTTGGGCTACTGGCATCGTTACGTTCTAAAGAATTAGGCCAATGAAGTCGTCGGTGTATACAAAGCTCTGCTGATGCCATTCATGAAGGGCGGCCATTTTGCTGTTTATGAAGGCTGGCCATTTAGCCAGTTTGAATGACGACCACTTGAACGGTTTGAAGGTTAGAGCGGTGCTGATAGAAGATGATGTTTGAAGCTCAACTCAATCAATTTCAGGCGAGGCACAGACTTGAGAACTCTCACATCTTGGTATGACTTTGTTTTTCGTAATCCCTTTGGATAAAAACTTAATTGGGTTTTGTTTTGTTATAACTGAACTCAAAAATGAAACTTTCGAGCTGCCTACGTACTCCTATGAAGGAGATCAAGTCAAACGTAGTTCATAAGTACCATTTGAATTGGTAATCTAAAGGAGGGGACCATACACAGTTTTAACTCATGCGGGCCAGGAGCTTGCCGTACACATTTTAAACTCTCGTGGGCCAAGAGCTCGCCGTACACATTTTAAACTCTCGTGGGCCAAAAGTATCTATGATTATGCTCACCCATAGACAAAGTGAGATGTTTTAGCAGTTTAGCCACTTACAACATCATTGGTGGTTTAAGTTATTTAACATTTTGTTTGGTCATATGCATACCCTGACATGAAGGGTATTGTATCCTCAAAGTTGATAATGCAGGAGTTCACATATTGGTCTTCATATTGACCATGAGTGTGCACAATGGTCACTGGCTTGACTTTGAATGCACTTCCATATGTTACTTTCACATCAGTTTCTTGTTTCATACGAGATGGGATAAAGCTTTTATACTCATTAAGACTTTTGTTTTCGAGAGGAACTTTAGCAAATTTATTGCTTTCATGCTTCAATCCCAATGTTTCATGAACAGACTTTCTTCTGAAGTTTTGTCCCATGCATAGGCCTTCAACGTGTTTCAACATCATCGGGCTCGTTTCAAGCCATTCTTGTAAAGTCTTCTTCACGATCTTCTTTAGCTTCGACGCCATTCTGTCAAAGATGGCAGGTCTTGATCTTGCCCCCCCAATCCTATCAAAGTCGGAGTACTTTGGCTTAGAAGTTATTTCATCTTCCTCATCAGCACTGATATGATGTATTGCGGCTCTATTTATGAGGATTTTTATAGGTTTAGGTTGAACATAGCCCAATCCAATGTGGCCTCTTAAGTTGATTTGCTTCGGTGTTCCTTCTCCACCAGCTTCTGGAATGAGCTTCCCTAACTTTTGTTCGTTATGATTATAATCGGCTTTGGCAAGGAGCTTGTATGTGTTTGGGTCAAATCCTTCTTTCGTACGTGTGTTAGGCAGCTCAGACTCACATTTCTTTTCAGCTTCCTCTTTAGGAGCCTTTTGAGAAGGTTTCGATATCTCAATCTGTGCAAGAGGGAATGTGAGCCTCTCCACACCTTCAACAAGCTTTTCTTTCAATTTAGGCTCAGTCAAAGGGCGATACACATCATCTTTTCGAGCATCCTCGTCTTTAGAGACTTTAGCCTTGAAGTATAACTTTGCATCTGCAAAATAGGACTCAGCTTCTGTGAGTGGAGTCTCATCAGCCAACACCTTCTTCACAACACCGTTTTCTTCATACATGAAGCATTGGTGCAAAGTTGACGGAATTACACCATTTTCATGGATCCATGGGCGTCCTAACAGAAGATTATATGAAGCTTTGGCATCAATGACATGGCATAGAGTGCTTGCCTTCAGTTTGCCGATGACCAAATCAAGGCGTATCATTCCAATTGCCCTTTGCCCCTCTTGATTGAAGTCTTGAATCATCAAGCGGCTTTGGGAGAGTTCATCAATTGATATTCCAAGGTCTTTCATAGCCTGAACTGTCAAAATGTTAACAGCGGATCCTTGGTCAATCATGATTCTTTTGAATCGTTGTCCACAAGTATATCCCTCAACAAAAAGTGGGCGATTATGGGGTGTGGCACCCAACATAAGATCTTCGTCTTTAAAGACAATATCAGTAGCATACGAGGTAGAGTTCTGTGTTTTTACATCTTCTTTCTTAGCTGAAGTTGGTGATGAGCATTTGCTTGAGCTCTCAACTTCTTTTTCATGAGTGCCAAGGCAGGAACTTGAAGTTTGATTCACCTTGTTCTTGAAATCCTTTGGCATATAATTGTCTAGAGTAACTGACCTTCGCTCAACCTTGGAACAAACACTAGTCTTTCTTTCCTTCTTTAGCTTGAGTTTATAAACCTCCCTTTTCTTGACCCATTTCTTTACTCCCTTCACTGGGGGTAGGATCAATTTTTGCCTCTTATTTTGTTTATCTCGATCTACTAAGATCCATGGACCTTCTTCGCCATTATTTTCTTCATCTCTCACGCGAGAGTAGTTTCCCATCACTTTGATAGTAAAAGGAAGTCTTCGATTGTGAGAGTTCTTACTCTCTTCTTTCGAGTTGTCTTTAACCATAAATGGAGAAAACTTACCAAAAGTGATGGCAATTTGGTTTGTGCTTGCAGCAGAATCGGCGAGCTCAATCTTTCCTTGACGAGCCAGGGCCATAATTTTATCTTTAAGCACCCAACACTTCTCAGTGGAGTGGCTTAAAAGTCGATGGTACTTGCAGTAATTGGGGTCATCTATCTTTGTAGCTTCCTCGGGTCGTTTGGACTCGGGTAAATCAATAAGCTTCAATCTCATCAGTTCTTCGAACATGGGAGGAACGTCAGAGTCTAAGAAGGGGTATTTCTTTTCTAGCATCTCTTCTAGAAATGGTTTAACACGTTTCGACGCCTCCGAATCAACCCTAGAAACTTTCTTTGAATTTTGAGTGAAGATCTTAACAGGTGCAGCCTTCACGACCATTGCTTCTTTATTTTCAATATTAGAAAAGGGTTTGCCCCCATTTTTGGTATCTTGTTTTTCAACAGCATTGTTTATGGGATACATACCCATGGCTTTCTTTCCACTACTTGCAATGCTTAACTCCATGTTATGAGCTTTGCTTGCTAGCTCGTCGAAAGTGTTTGGATTGACTCCTTTGAGAATGTAGCACAATTCCCAATGCATTCCTTCAATGCACATATCGATAGCGGAACTTGTAGAGATTCGATCTTTGCAGTTTAGAGCAAGATCTCTCCAACGCTCTATGTAAGCTGACGTGCACTTGTCGTTAGGTGCACTCAAAATAAATACAATACAACACTAATACGTAGTATAGTGTAGTAAGGTTCGTATCCACAGGGAAAGGAATACTTTTCTTTTAAATAAATAGTAACAAAAGGGGGGTTTAGATTTGTTTGCTTTAAAAACACTAAGATAAACAACCTATATGAGTTTAATTCAATGAGATGAAGACTTGGTTTTGCTTTTATCCACTTAATGAAATGTTCGTCGATCCCGGTTATATCTTTAACTATCTTCCTCTCGAATACTCAATCGAGGAGTATATCCAGTTCATCGAGGGTAGTTATTAATAACGAGATGCATTCATTAATAAAACTTACTATCGAGTCAATGTAGAACAAGCGCCGTATATTAACTTGATAGTAGCAATAAACTTAAGATGAAAACGATTGAGATTGATAACCTCAACACAAGCGGTTTATTGGTTTAATCAATATAATTAATTCCCCTTGGCATATTAATCATGAGATGCATGCATTAATATTCCAAGTTTACTACCGTTGAAAGAACCGGATTAATAACAAGCGTATTAACCGATCGTTTCTAGTAATAATTAATATGAGAAACAATACTAGGTGATACTTTAAGTAATGTTAAAGATATTAACATGAAATATGAATAGGAATTAATTAATACTCAAGGAAGAATATTAAAGAATATGAATCCTACTATGATTAATATCAAGATGTTAACTAATTGTCATCTTAGTAACACTCCCCAATATTAACATAGAGGAAGAAATAGCTATTACTATAACCAATGTCAAGATGTTAACTAATTGTCATCTTAGTAACACTCCCCAACTTTGATATAGAGATAGTATTTTGAAAGAAAGAATTAATATTCAAAGAAGAAGATTAAAGAAAATAACTCACAACTTACAAATTCATTAAGCTTCAAAGTAGCAAAACCAAGATGGAAGAGTTTAGCTCCTCATTTGGAGACTAAACATGATGAAAAATATAAAGAAAGAGCTATTCTATACTGAGCTTAGATGTACAAAGGAATTGGATCTCTTTTTGTGAAGGAAAGGAGGTGTATTTATAGGTTTTTGGGATGGGATTCGGGTACTCGATCGGGTATATACATGGTACCCGATCGAGTACGTGTGTAACACTCGATCCGAGGCATACTCGACCGGTTTCAGGCTATTTTCTAAGAGTATACCCGATCGAGTATATATGAATACCCGGTCGAGTATGCTTAGAAACTGGTATTCGGACCATACTCGACCGATCTTCGTTTGAAATTCAAAGGCATACCCGATCGGGTATGTCGGTCTACCCGATCGGGTATAGACATAAAATCGTGGCCGAAATCTTCCCTGCATGTTCCCTTGTCTTCGGATCTGATCCGATTTGAAGTTCCAACCTAATACCCGATCGAGTATAGCTAATACTCGACCGAGTATAGACCTAAATTCAGGATCTTCTTTTGTCTTTGAACTTTTTCACCTTCTTTCCACTTTTTGGGTTCACCAACTGTACTTTCGAGTGATCAATACCTGCTTGAGCTCAGAATATATCTAATCTAATCTATTTACAAGAATTTAACAATCTAATCTATTACACCAAAAGTGTGTAATTTCCAAAGTAAAAGTCAAGCAAAACTAATTAAAAACATAAACATAAATATGGAAATTACGAATGTATCAACTCCCTCACACTTAAACCTTTACTCGTCTCGAGTAAGATCAAATGTTTACAAGTGTCAATGTTTGTCCAAAAGTTCCACAGTTCAACAAAAACACAATACAAACACAAAGACCATCAAGGATGACAAAGAAAAAATGAGTTTTAAACTCAAATTACAAAAGAGCATATTGGGTTTAATGGCCTCCTAGTGTTATCTTCTTTTCTCCTCCTCTCTTCTTTTTTATCTTGAATCTTCTTATTCTTCACAAGGATACAATGAGTGCCTGCAAGAACAAACATTTCTCTCATATCTCTCATTTTGCCTAGGAGCCTTTTCAGGTTTTCATCCTAGCACCTCTTTTCATTTTCCATTCTCTCCAACTCACTCATTTTTTATAAGCCCTTTTTGCTTAGATTGCCCATTTTGTTGGGTTTTCAACC